TGCAGAGGCTGAAATGCTGCATCTCGGCTTTTATTAAGTGGCATCTCCTGATTTCTTGTATTGTCAACTATAATTTACTTATGAGCATTGTCCCGATGAACAAAATACATCCAGCACCTTTCAACCTTCAGTTTAAGAAAGGGGCGAGGGCGGCCTCTCTGCAGCTGGCGATGATCAGGCCGGCCCTCTGGTGTCACAGCCCCTGTCCACAGGGCTTGGGGGCGCTGACAGTCGCAGGGGCGTGTGGGGCGAGACGTGGTGCTTTTTCCCTCACCTGCGCGGCCTTCTCCAGCCTGTGCCTCTTACCACGTCACACAGCGAGGGGTCTGTTCAGAGCCCCTCCTCCCAAATGTCGGCCTTTCCCTTGGCCCTTGTATTGTCATTGGTGGCAGCCTCGGTGATTATGAGTGACAGCGTTACCATGTTAATGACATCGTTGGGGGTCCGTCTCTGGGAACCTTTGCCTTGGGTTAGGTACAGATACCTGTGGTATCTCGTAAAGATGCTTTTAGTTAGAAGACGCAGAATCCAACTCAAGTTAGCTTGAGAGAGAGAAAAAAAGGGGGTTTATTGAAGGAATACAGGAGTGTTTCATGGAACCCAAGGACAAAAATTCACCTGGCCCCGTGGAAGGAACTAGAAGTGAGGAGAAGACGTTAGGACGCAGACAGCGGCCCTCCCCAGCCGCCCTCCCCGGCCCCGTGACTCTCCTGCCTCTGAGGCGCTGCTGGCCTTCTCCTTTCTTTCCCCCACACGGCAGACAGTGTCCGCCTCACAGCACCACACTGTCACCTCCTCGGCCTCACTCCAGAGTCCCCGCCCTGGGGCTCGTTGGCTCAGCTTGGGTCGGGTGTGCGTCCCTGGTCCAATCAGCCGCGGTCAAGGCAGCAGGACCGAGTTGTACAAATACGGCCGCCAGTGCCCCTGTTTGTGCTCAGAAGGGCAGACACCCCAAAAAATTTAGTTTAATTTTCAAGGATGAAATTATGTGTTGACAAAAAAAGCATTTCGTCTGAGGGAGGTCCAAAGCAAAGTGGAAAGGAGAAAAGATACTTCTTTTAAAATCAAGGAATAAATTTGTTTGCGTTATGCAGCAACAGAGTAGCGTGAAGTATTTTGAGCTTGGACGTTTTCCTTAATGGATTCACGCTGTGAGTTGGTCCTTTGAGTATTATTTTATTTTATCTTTCCATAGGCCATGTATTCGGCTTCCTTAGGTGGTTTTACAAAAGAAATAAAATGATTTGAACTGACACATTTATTTACTTCCTTCCATACGAAAATAGAAAAAAAGGTAGCTTTAATTTAAATCTTGACTTGACTTTTCTCTCGTCTGGGTAACTTTGAATAAGTTACCTTACGCTCAGTTTCCGTGTCTGTAAAATGCAGATGTTGCCACCGCATAGACTTTTATGGAGCTTTAATGAGATAACTCACGTGAAGTGCACAGCTTAGTGCCTGGAACGAAGATTTGTTCCCTTTCCCCTTGCCACCCAGGCGTGTATTTGGCCTTAGCTTTGCAGAGTTCAGGACTTACTCGTGGCCGGGGGGTACAGTCACCCCTAGCACCCCTTCAGTTGTCCCTGCGGGCCACATCTCCAGGGTGCCACAGGCTACAACTGAGCTGGCTTGTAGACTTGTAGAGCAGAGCTGAGTCAAAAGCGTAAGTGCAGTCATTGGGTCACTGGCATTGTTCACATTGGAATCAGGTGGCTTATCCCCTCGGGGCCTCAGTTTCCTCCTGTGCGGAACTAGAGGTACTAACCCCAACCCCAGAGGTCGCTGTGCTGGCAGCTCGGAGAGGATACAAGTACAGCCGCAGAGAGATGCTAAGGACACGGCGCTCCGTCGTGGTTTCTTTTTAAATTAGGTTCCTACGTATCTGAGCCTCCAGGTCTTACAGTTTCATACAACACCTGAGAGACAAATGTTGCCCATGCTTTTCAAAAGTGACCCAGCAATGACACATCTGTGGGCAAAGCGGGGTGCACAGAGCTCATTGTGATGTTCTTGTAATAACAAAAGACTGAAAACAATCTAAGTGTTTCTCAGCAGGAGTCTCGTTAAATTACTGTATGTCCACTCTAGTTGATACTATAGAACCTTTAAAAAGAATGAGGTTCGTCTATATGTGTTGGCATTGGAAAGATCTCCAAGAAACAACATAGTTCTACTTGAGTTGAAAATGAGAAAATCACACCCCCCACAGCACCGTACACATACAGAGTCATGTATATATATACGTACCAAATTTCTGGGTAGTTACACACACGTAAGCACAAACATTAAGAGTAGTTGCTTCATTTGCAGAACAACATGCCAATGTAACCATATTCAAGTAAAACGTTTAATATGAATGTTTTAAACAATATGCACTGCATGTGTCTGACAGTCCATATAAAGGTGGCCTGTGAGGACCCTCCCGTTGCCAGGGCTGGGGTTTCAGCAGGTCAGAAGACTGGAGCATGGGCTGGTCAAGGGGAATCCGCATTCTGTGCATTGGTCAAATATGTTACAAAGAACATTCCAGTAAAGTTACAAGTGATAAAAATTAAGTATAATTGGAAATTTATACATCAAACAGTTCTTAACTGTGTATCTTAACTGTTCTTTATTATAGTGGTGATACACTGCTAAAGGGGGCAGAAGTTTCAAAAATGGGAGCTTTCAATTTAACTTTAGAATCATGTTTTTCTTCTTATAATCATGAATGTATTGTATGTATTAAAACACAGCAATGAATAAAGCCATTTCATTTGAAAAATAAAATATTGATTTAAATATTTTAAATATTTAGTAGTATCCTCTGGGAAGGAAACCTGCTTTTCATAATAAAATGTATAGGTATTGTTTTTTCAATGTATTGAGTCATCTCTGCTTTTCATTCTTGTCGTCTTTAAAAATCCAAGAGCTAATGCCATGTAATAAATCTGCTTATGACCAAGCCTGGTGATTAACCAGAGTGAAGCCATTCTTAGGCTGAGCACCTCACATGTGAAATAAATGATAAATTGAGCTCAAGGGTTTTCCTGCCAGCCCGACCCTGACACCGCTCTTGCTGTCTTGTCCCCACAGATGACAGAAGGCAGGCACTGCCAGGTGCACCTCCTGGATGACAGGCGGCTGGAGCTGCTGGTTCAGGTAGGTGTCGTCCACGCAGGGATAGCACATCCTGGGGCCTCTGTGACTTCATGGCCTGCATTCAGGCTGATGGATTGTCTGTGCCTCAAAGCCTATGACTCAGGACTGATGGAGGAGGAAAGGGGGCTTTGAAGTCAAAACACCTGTTCTGTGTGTCACTAGAGCTTGGTGACATTCAGAGATACTGGGGTCCCAATCGTGGCTTTGACACTCAGTAGCTGTAGACCCCAGGCAAGTGACTTGACTTCTTTGAATCTCTTGCTGGTAAATTGGGGAACATAATGCTCCCTGAAAGGGTTATTCTGAGCTGAAAATCTGCATTCTGCCACATTCCTGCCACATGACGCTGTCCAAGTTAAATACCCAGTTTCATAAATTGTGAACTGTGATTACATTGCCTCCCTCGTCTTCTCACAGAATTACGGTTAAAATCAGGCTAAATTCTATACAGGAATGAAATCTCTCTCTAAAATATGTGGGACTACATGAGTGATGATACGTTCGTTGCTGGTGCCTCTCTCTTTGCCCAACACTTTGCACCAAGGGTCTTAAAAATCATGGACGTCCCTGCTGACAGCCCCACCTGCAGCTGGGGCTGGAATTCGTTCCTTTGACCAAACCTAAACTTTTCCCCCTTCTGCGGCTTGTCCCTACCCACTACGCACAGGCTTCAGTTAGAATGAAAATAGCACAGCCAACAATAGTTTCACCACAGTAGACATTTTAATCTAGATTTCTGCCTGTTTTTCTCTTCTTTTTTTCTTTCTTTTTCTTTCTTTCCTCTCTAATCATGACTATTCTTTCCTCCCCAACTGCACACATTCAACCCTCCAACCATCATAATGAACCCTAAACTGTTTGGCTCAAAATTCAGACAGAATCCACCTCGAACACCCTCCTGCAAACCCCTGTTCTTCCCACCCCTCCTAGTGCAGCGCCCACAGTCACTCAGACAGGCTGGCGTCTTCCCTTAAGCCCAGTGCCGCCTGAAAGCTCACAGGGTAGACCCTTCCTCTAACCGGTGCTCAGTAAGTACTAGTGATGACCGTCTATACAGGGGGGACAGTGGCTCCCTACAGAGAAATGAACGCTTAGGCTCTGTAAGCAGACAGGGCTGGGTTCAAACCCCGGCGCTTCCTACAAGCTGCTTAACTCCTCTTGGCCTTGGCTGGCTCATCCATAAAATGGAAAATAAGAACCCGTTCCTCAGAGGCCCATCGGGAGGAAGGAGCGAGGTAATGGGTATGGGGTTGGCCCGGGGAATCGCTGCTGCCGTTAGTTCTGCCGGTGACGCCCCGCAGCTGGGTCTCGACGTTTTCAGCTGGTCCACCAAGCAGAGTTAGTCCACCAGTCCAACAGCGAGGTGTGTGATCGTCCTTGTCTTGGTCACTAGCACCATACTACTTATAAAGGAGGGGTTTTCCAAGTATCGAAGCATTAGCAAGCACAGTGTTACCTTAGGGGAAAGAAGTGAGGTACCGGGCTGAATGGCAGATACATGAAAAGGACGGTCGCATTGCTGTGCCCTTCCCACTTCCTCTCCCTCCCAGTCTCAGGGAATGCTCTGTCGCCCACTGACCTGGGCCCGGGGGTGGGCGGTCAGGGCACATGCCCGGTTTGGGGCTCCATCCCCAGCAGGGGGCGTGCAGGAGGCAGCCGATCCATGCCTCTCATCCATGTTTCTATCTCCCTCTCCCTTCCTCTCACTCACTGAAAATACCAATTTAAAAGAAGCATACTTTAAAAAAGGTATTTAAAGACAAAAGCTGTTTTAAATGATTCTGGGCAGAGGAAGGTGGTAACAATGAGAGAGAGAGACAACCGGTTTGTTTCTAATCAGATTTTTATACTTCCAGCCCAAGCTGTTGTCAAGAGAGTTGCTGGACCTCGTGGCCTCACATTTCAACCTGAAGGAAAAGGAGTACTTTGGAATCACGTTTACAGATGAAATGTAAGTGTTTCTCCATCCAGTCGTTTTCATGTCTTTACCTTTTGTCCAGACCACCTACTCACTGCCATTCGCAATTAGCAAGAAAAGGGGGAAATGCTCCAATACTTAGAATATGCCCTGCTTAGTGAAAGGTTTTTATGCAAGATTCTTCTCCTAGGTCTATTGCAAAAAGAGAAGAAAAGGAAGGTGGACCATTTTAAGAACTCAAAATATCGTCCTGTTTTAGAAATTTTTAATGAGTTTGCTACTATTGTTTGAATGCACTGTGCTTGCTTACTGGCCTCGGGTGTCAGCGAGAGAGATACTAGATGGTCGTTCATTCACATCTTGAAATTGAATAACGATTTGGTGTTGATGGCAAGAAAGTTTGAAGGCAATTTATGGCTCACCCATAAAATATGTATATGGTTTTTAGCTTCCAACAAGGTCCATTTTATGTTACGTCCTTACTATCTTTTCTTTTTTTACTTCCATTTTTTATGCTAACTTGAATGTTGTATATATTTGTCAACAATTTAAATCTTCTCTAAAATGAGGCAGGTATATAACAATAAATTTGTGATAATTTAAAACTCCATGTAAGTAAATGTGTTTGGACTTATCAGCGTGTGTGTGTGTCTGTCTGTCTATCTGTCTTTGTCTGTCTGCTTTGTGGCAGCCCAATTCACCTATATTCCAATTTGCCTGTGTTACATGCAGCCTGATACATTATCAGAGAAATTCTCCCTCTTTCTGAGGATAATTCCCAAAGATCTCTTCAAGTATTAAAATTCAAGAAAATGTGTTCCAGACAAACTATGCTGCCCAACCACCCAGCATTCTGCCCGTAGATCTCCCAGGTTCGTGCTCTTTCGGTTCCTAGGCTCAACCAGGCATCGGGTAATCTCCAAAGGGGTTCATCTTTTTTTCACACCTGTGACTTCTGACTCTTTCCAGCCTGAGGGTTACAAGCCTAGGACCTCCTAGAAATGCCTCTGGGTAGCTGAGTTGTCAGGAGCCATGGAAACACCTGAAAACCTTGGTTCTGGACTCAGGATATTTTCTGAGTAGGGTTTAACAAAGCAGAAAAAAGTGCACTCAGCACCACCTACCTCACTCTGAATCACAAAATCCTCTGCCATGAAGGAGGAAATGCAAACGTCCATTGACCATGTGCTCCAGCTGGAAGCCCAGGACTAGTTCCTGCGTGTCAGTGGTTGACCACACACACACACACACACACACACACACACGTGGAATCTGCATGTGAATGAAATGGTAGCTAACAGTATAAGACATAAAACCATACTTAATGGCTAAGTTATAGGGTGCGATCTGTACATGCCATAAACACTGTAATTTAAAGAGGTCACCTAAAGTAGAAGCTAAAAGCTTGATAAATATTGGAGTAATTTGTTCATTTAAAAACTATTTCTTGAGTGCCCACTAAATGCCAGGCATCGTTCTAAGCCCTGGGAAGTCAGCTGTGAACAACACAGACAGGCCCTTGCTTTCATGGAGCTTCTGTTGCAATGGGATCATCTAGCAGAACAAATAAACAACAGATAAATGGGGAAATACCAGAAATGACAGTGCTTCAAAGAACATAAAATAAGAGGCCAGGATCCAGAAAAGCTGGGTGCAGTTTTAGGCGGGGTGAGCCAGGGCGGTTTCTGGGAGGAGATAAACAATGAGAAGCGGGACCCGTCCTGTGGATTCTAGGAGGAATTCTGACCAAACCAGTGCAAAGGGTGGGGCTCAGCTTGACTTTAATTTTTTTTTTTTTAAGAAAGAAATATAAAAGGCAGTGTGGCTAGAACATACAGAGTAAGAGGCAAAGTGGGACAAGATATTATGTTGGGAGGGAGGCAAGGGATGGACACCATAGAATCTTGGTAGCTGTGTGATCTTGGACCAGTTACTTAACATCTTTGACACTCAGGCTTTCTCATCTGGACAATGGACATAATAACAGTGCGCACACAGCAGGGCACATATAATAGGGCACTGGGATTATGTACATTACATCAGGTAAACATGCAAAGCCCAGGCACACGAGGGAGCTTCGTGGCAATAGCTAAGTGTTCAGAAGGCGGCTGGGGGAGGGCCGGGTGGGACTCACACAGCAGGATAACTAAAATTAGAGCTGGCAGGGCAGGTGGCCTTTCAAGGGGACAGGAGATGACATTCCAGGGAAGAGTGGTTCTGTGGGCAGTGCATGGACATGGTAATGAACTTGGTACATTTTCCCGGGGTGAGGAGCCTGACCAGGCTGTGCAGTAAGATGCGAGAGAGACAAGATCATAGGTGAGCCTGATGATCGTGCGTCACAGAGGTGGGAGAGATACCCCTCGGCCACGGGGGGGTGTCAGATAGCGGAGTGACATGATTTGGGACTGTGGGGTCACAAGTTCCCCAGGCCACAGGGTTCATGGTCTGCTGGAAAAGCGGGTACTGGCCACATGGAAACTTCTGGGAAAGCTCTAAGCTCAGGTGAGCATAAGCAGACGGTGCATAAATCAGGTGTTCAGGCTGCAAGACCTTTTCCTTGGAAAGAAAAGGGATACCGTGGGCGACTCCTTTAATGACTCGGCCTCTTCCCCTCTCCTGCCCTGGGATTTCTTTCTAAGCCCTCTCTTGGGAGAAGGCTGTCTCGCTCAGCGTCTCCTCCATGGTCACCTTTGGTGGCAGTGGCCAGTGTTAGTCTTTCCAAGAAGACTGGCTCTGAAAAGTCCTCATGCCCCTCCCTGCAAGTGGCAGCAATGTCTGTTTTTGAGTTATGACCAGTTTGGAGGTGTCTTCTGGCTCCAGCTGTGTTTATTTTCAGAAGACGTATGAGCTGGGCTTTTTGTTGGGGGTGAGTGGGAATGGGCCGTTTCCACCTTTCTGGGGAACTGGTCTGGAAATTGCTTCTGTCTAAAAGTGTCTCCTTGGAATGTCTTGGTCACAAGCCTAGTTCTTTTTGTCTGGTAAATATTTTTAGAAAGTATTTTCTTTCAACACTCCCCTTTCCCCGCCCCCACCACAAAACCACTGAGTCGGATCCCTCCCAGGATGCTGCCTGAGCTGCATTTTCCAGCCTAGATGCCACATCAGCTGTTTGCCTTTGGTGATCTTCTCTAAACAGAGGATGGCAGAGCAGAGGTGGACATTTGTCCCTAAAACTAGCTAATGTCTGTACCCTAAGCCACAGGCCAAGAAGGAAAGTGGAAAAGTAGAATTGCGCAGTTCCATAATAAACGCAGTGGTAGTGACCAACAAAAACAGTCATGGTCCTATTAGGGGAGGTCGGTGGAGCCCCTGAAATTTACCGTGTTCTGTGTGCAGGGCGAGCCTGTTACCCCTAGAGGGCAGTCACGGCCCTCCTCACTCAGCGGGTTCTGATTTCCTTCAACCTGGTTCCTGTTTTTTCTTCCCTCGTTTGAAAGGGTTTTTGGAATAAGCTTTGTTTATGAAGACATAACGTATAGGTCTTACAACGCAGTTATGACTCTCGATCGGCGTCCCATCCGATGGGCCTTTAACTGACTCAGTTCTAGCCCAGAAGGAAGCTGCCTCCCAGGCTGCCCTGCACAGCTTGGTAGATGTCAAGGTGGGGATTCAAAGGTCTTTTTGAGGCAGTGATCACGCCTGTTGTATTTGTTGATAGAAGAACTTGAGAAAAGCAGGTTGTAAGCTGCCTGAGCTCATGATGACCTCGGAGACTATGAAATCGCCTGGTAACTTTGATTACGTCTCAGCAACAGAGTGAGGCGCAGTGTCCACTCTTGTTCCACTTTATCCTGTTGGTGAGATTATGGATGGAGTTTTAAAATCTAATTTCTAATTTATCCCTCACAAAATTATCTTATATTACATTTATATGCATATTTTCTTATAAAAATATTTAGTATCATAGTTGAAGCCAGTCCCTTTTGATTGTAGCAATTTGTTTTCATATCTTTCCAGAACTATATCCAAGAAGTTTCATCCATATGTAATAGTGCTTTGAGTGTGCTTCTGAGGCTAATATAATTGAATTATCCATTCTTGGCCATCATTCCATGCAAGTTCATATAAATGTACATTATGTTTTTTTAAAATATATTTGTTTATAAATATATTGATTTTTTAAAATATTATTGATTTCAGAGAGGAAAGGAGAGGGAGAGAGAGACAGACAGAAACATCAATGACGAGAGATCCATTGGGGATCGAGCCCGCAACCCAGGCATGTGCCCTGACCCGGAACTGAACCTCAATCTCCTGGATCCTAGGTCGATGCTCAACCACTGAGCCACGCCTGGCTGGGCACATTATGCTTTTTAATGATGCCACATCTTTCCCATGTAAAAGCAAAAAGCAAAAAAAAACAATTCAGAGTGAATCTCATTTTCTACAAGAAAACTTCTGAGCTCTGGTAGTATACAATATTTTATGTTTTAAGACACACATTTGAACACCTCTGAAATTGGGATATGCTTTTAACTTAGTGCCATCCTAACCTAGATAAAATGCAGTGTAAGAAACCCTTAACTTCCAGTCCTCTATCTTTATGTCACTTTTACACGCAATGCCAATACTTCTAAGAAACCCCATTATGTCATTCATATCTTATTTATTTTCATAATATTCCTCCAACGAAAGCTAACAACAGTTATCAGAAGCCTCCATTTATAATTACAGATACAAAAATATTTTTTCCAGTGTTAAAACTAGTAAGTCACAGAGATCAAGCCAAAAGTTATTACAAAAGCTGATTCCAACCCTCTAATCTCATTTTCTTCTGTATTAAAAGTCCTGGGTTCAAATCCTAGCTCTGCCACTTTCCTTACAGAGTTGCTGTTAGATAGAGCATTCGTACATGAAAATCCAGCGTAGTTGGCAAAAGCAGTTGCTCAGTAAAGAGTAGCTCCTATTATTAATAAATATTAATATTATTTATGCCCACTTTCCCTCTCTATTTATAATGAATACAGCTTAGAGTTTTCTGATTTTTAAAAAATTATTTACTCAAAGACCAAAATAGGTTGGAAAATGTCTCCTGGCCCATTATAGATCTTGTTATCATTTGACACCCATCACTATCAGCATGTTCTTGAGTTTTCTGTAAGCAAGCAAAGTGGAGTCTGTGCCCTCTGGGAATTTACCATCCAAAACGGACCAACTAGTTAAACAGCCTTGAAAAAGTCTCGTAAGCAATCCTGAGCTGCAGTGTCAGCAGTCCCTTCCATTTCTTGGAGGTCAAAAGTCGGGAAGAACTGTTTATACCCAAAAACTTGGCGAGGCTCTTGAGTAAATACACAAATATCCAGGGTGAGGGGAAAGTGGGTTTACAGCTGTGGGTATGCAAAACACAGTTTGTTCTTGTATTACTACTTAATTATTGTATTATTTTCCATATGAACAACTGTAAACCTCCTTTTGCCCACCCCGTATGTGCTTAAATATTAGAAAGTTCATTTTATTTGTACATACAGAAGCAGCACCCAGAAAATAGTCAACCCTGTATTTTTAGAAAGCTATAGTAGCCCTGACCGGTGTGGCTCAGTTGGTTCAATTCCTCATCGGGCCACATGTCCGGGTTGTAGGCTCAGTCCCCGGTTGGAGCATGTGCAGGAGGGAGCCGCTCAATGTTTCTCTCTCACATTGATGTTTCTCTCGTTCTCCCTTCCTCTCTCTCTAAAAATCAATAAAAAAATTTTTTAAAGAAATAGTATTGTTATCTGTCTGATTTCATTAAATGACTGAAAGTTTTCCCCTCATGGCTATCTAAAATATTTCAGGTTTTATACTTAATAAGAATTTAAAGATTAATATACCTAATGTCACCTGGTTTTTGAACTCCAAGGCAACCAGTGTTATTTCTTGTTTGTCCTCTGAGAGAGGTTTTAGATATTTATTTATATATACATGCACACCTATGTGCATATCTGTTTTTTAATTGTAGAAGTGCTGAGATACTGTGCTCACTCTTACGCATCTTGCCTTTTCACTTAACAGTGTATCTTGGATAGTGTTCACGTAAGTTTGTAAAGATAGTATCAATCTTCTGCATGGCTGCATTGTATTTTATTGCTCAGGTTAAACTGATCTTTTAAAACAATATCCCGTTAAGACATTTCGGTTGTTTAGAGCTTTTCCCCGTTACAAACTAGGCTACAGGGAGCGGCTTCACATGCAGCCCCTGCGCCTCAGGCGCGCGTTTACCTGGACAAACCCCGGGTGGAAATTCTGCTTGTGAGGCAGGTGCTTCCTACTCTCGGTGGAAATCGCTAACGTGTCCTCAGTACCAGTTAACAGGCTGAACACCTGCCGTCCCCGCTGCACGGCTTGGCCGGCACCGTGCGTGACTGAGCCTTCCTCTGAGCTTCTGTTCAACCCTTTTGCTTTGCTTTGCTTCACAGAGGTCAGCAGAACTGGCTGCAGTTAGACCACCGCGTGCTTGACCATGACTTGCCCAAGAAACCAGGCCCAACCATATTGCACTTTGCTGTGAGGTATGTACCCAGACACACCGAGCATCCCCACCTCCCTTCAAGAAAAGAGAAAATTCTGGTGATCAGGCATCGAGAATTAAAAAAGAAGCAACCTATCAAAAGATTATCACGTGAAAGAGATTCTCTGCTTCCTTAGTCTGGGGCCCAAGTTACCACAGATACGTGTAGAACGGTTTTCTTTGAAAATGAAGGGTAGAACCATCTTCCCTTATTACTCCAAGCACCTTGGCTCAGTTTGAAGCTGAAAAACATAAGTAATGTATTTTAATACGAAGCCTGCTTCTGACTCAACATACTTTAGATTTTTTATATTTGAAAGATGGCAAATATTTATTATTGCACTTTCTGTATAAGTGTTTTCTAGAGACTGCGGAAATAATTGAATGTATATCATTTCACACCTTTATTTGAAAAGAAGATAAAATGCAAACCACTGTTCCCTGAAGGAACAATCAGTGCAAAAATCTGAATTCTGTTTGCAGGTGGAGGGCAGTGGACAACGCTGAGTCCCGACTGTCCCCGCTCCACGCTCCGCTAGGGCAGGTCACTTCTTCCTGAAATGGATGCATTCACTAAATCAATGACTTCTTAAAACCAGCCCATGATGGAAAGAGCTTTTCATGTTCATTATTCACACGGGCCCCAATGGGTGGGTAGCTCGGTTGGTTAGAGCGTTGTCCTGATACACCAAGGTTGCGGGGTTCACCCCCATCAGGACACATGCAAGAAGCAACCAATGATTCATGAGTAAGGGGAACAACAAATCCATGTTTCTCTCTCTCTCTCTCTCCCATTTTAAAAAAACTAATCAATAAAAAAAATTGTTGCAGTTATCACACTCTAAGATAAGTCAGGTGTTATGAGTAGTAACACCATGTTCTGTACCTAGCTTAAGAAATAAAACTATCAACTTTGCTGAAAGCCGCTCGCCCCACTATCTTGAATTTGATGATAAATTTTGTTTTTCTGGTCTGAAACCAAACATGATGAAATAAGCTAATACAGATTTACCATAAATCTAAATATGTTTTTCATAAATTCATATCAACTGAAAAATGTTCTTTTAGTCTGAGCCTATATTATTTTTTGGATGTTGAAACATGTTTTATTATATGATAGTGGAGGATTCCTTCTTTCCTTTTTGGGATTTTACACTATGATTACCTGCCAAAATTACATTGATTTCCACATTTTTTTCTTCAACTTCAATGTGTCCCATGAAATCCAGGAGTATGGTAATAAGATGCCCCCCCTTTTCTTAAAGTGTGGGTGGTAGTTACCCTTTCTTCAGTAAACAAAGTGTTGGCAACCCCCCACTTGTTTTTTGCTTTCTGCTCTGAAATCTGGGTTAGAATTTCTTTCTTACCACCAGAAATTACATTTTAAACCTCAGGAATAGGTAGCACGGTGGAGATTTGTCCAGGAGAGTAGCTGGTATGGAAAAGTGTGCCGAAATTCTGAAGAAAAACCCAGGATTTTCTTAGGAGTGTGACGGGAGACCTTGTGTCCGTGGAAATGGAGAAAAAGACAAACATGAGCCAGCAAGCAACAGGGAAAATGAGCATTATAATTAAGCAGGGGCCAGAGAATAAAGAAATTTAATCTTGCATTACGTAGGGAAAATGGCTCAACATATACCAGGTGTTTTACAAAGAATTATGTTATCACTGGAAACATTCAAACTATATGAAAGTACAGAGTGAAAGTAAAAATCACTGTCTGCCAGGTTCCTCCTTTGCCCCTATCCCAACTCCTTCCCCTCCTTAGAGGAAATGAGGGTGCGAAGTTGTTTGGGGGCTTTCTTTGTTTTTTACTTGGAGACCTTTCCTTGGAGATATAAAAATCTGCTTTTGAGCCTCCGTAATTGCGCCACCCAGTCTCCACTGCGCTCCTGGGCCGCGGGCGCTGGCCTTGCTCAGCTGCGCTTCTCAGCGCAACCACAGGCTTGGTAACCAGGCGAGGTCTTGTTCTTTGACTGCTAATACCTGGTCTATTTTGGTCTCAAAATACCAGGGGAGGAAGCTGTGTCTTCCTTTCTGCACAGTCATTCCTAAGGCCGCCCTATCTTGGGGGGCAGGGTCCTGAGAGCCGGAGCAGCCTGCTGCTTGTCCCTGAGTTTCAGCACTTAGCTCTATCTCCAGAGTGCCCCAGTCACTGGGCGGGACCCGCCCTTAACTACTTCGTGTCTCACACCCTTATCAAGTTTTAATTATTCACTTAATTCTTCCTCCCAAAAGTATAGTGAGATCATAATAGTCTTTGTTATTATTCCAATTAAGTACTTGTTGCTACTCCAACTTAATTGAAGAAATGATTAAGAAAAAACACACACCAAAGCATTAATAGAACTGCCCTGGTCACTGAATGGAACACAGTTCTTGAAGGTCTTACCAATTCGGTGGCCATGCTCCCAGGGAAGTCGCTGCCTTCAGGGGCCTCTGGCCTCCTCTTTGGAGAAAATAGAACTGATGGTGACACATCCCAGGGACACCAGCACCGACCTTCCAGGTTGCCTGTGTTCACTGAACGTTCGTTGAAGGACAGAGCCAACAGCAGTGTTTGATTCTGTTGGGTACTTGGTCACTATAGGAGCCTGTGGAAATGCGAGGCCCTCTTGACAGCCAGGGCATTGCCTCTTCCATCAGCAAGCCCAGCTGCAGGCACTGGGACCTGGTGCCAGCCTTGTTCGCAGGCACAAAGCTGTACCATCGCTGAGTCAGTGATGCTCAGGGAGACGGGAAAGTACCCCAATGCCAACAGTGGAGATAGGTTCAGTAAGTTATGCATGTTCATAGTGAATAGTTGGTCCTGTTAGTAAGAGATTAGATGAAAAAGTACCTTGCATTTCAGGCTTCTCCAAGGCAGGGCATGTTGGAATCAGCCTGGAAACTTTTCCAAAGACTCGGTCACACCCCTCTCACCCTAAGGTTCCCCACCCACCCCCATTCCTGGCCCAGTGTCCTGCAGATGGTGAACTTGGTCTTGGGCAAGTCCGTTGTGAGAAGAGAGATCAGGAGATACAAAATGATTTTGCGAAGTATTATGCAAACATAATAAAATATCACTTATTTCATTGTGGCATCTATGAAAAAGTAAAATGCCATACAGGTTTGCTTCCAGAAGTTTCCTTTCTATTGAAATGTAGCATTAATCCAGGGCAGGCACTGGGCTCAATATTGTCTCATGGATTCTAAGCTAAACACTGGGGTCCTACAGATTTAGGAGGTAAGACTTTCTCCTGGCTAGTACCCCAGGATGCAGGGAGCGGCTCAGACACGTGCTGCTTCTGCACAGAGGAAAGAGGCATTTAAGGTGAAGGCACTGAGTTCTCCCTTTATTGAACCATTGTCCTTTCTTCAGTTACATCTCCGGGATATGTGTGAAATATGTGCATGACACGCTTGTGGGTACAGGCCCCATACTTTCTGCACTATAATTCATTTACTCAAGTCTCTACTCCATGAGTCCCATCTCCCCCGGGCAGGCCTTATCTGCTGCTGTAAATTATCTTCCCAAACACACGGGCCTCTTTGGTAATGCAGCCCAGATGTGAGCATTTGAAAGGCTTGATAGTAAGTGAGCAGGCATTTAAATCAGAGAGTAGGGAATTGGGTGACCTCATGGGGAAAGCTCCCATTCCCTCCTGGGCGGGCAAGCAGAGGTAGCTCGGGCTGGCACCACCCAGCCACACACGGAGCCAAGACCTGGGCGTCTTTCACCCATCTCCTGAATACCTCTTGCTGTCTTTCCCCCTTTCTGCTCTTTCCTCTCCTCCTCCCCTCTTTCCCTTCTCTTTCCAAGTCACCTTTGCTATGCCCTTGGACTATAAGGAGCCAGCAGAGGTGCCCCAGGCGTTGTCTGTGACCCTCAGGCCTGAGACCGCACCACGTCAGTGAAAGTTCTAGTAGGAAGTGTCACAGCAGCTGCAAACAGTCTTAGAAGACGGCTGAGAGCGGCCCCCCTTCCCCCTGGTCTGGGACGCTAGGCCTTAGAAAGAGTAACTCAAGGAAGATCAGAACTAAGCCTGTGGATCCCCATTGTTTGGCCTAACTATTTTTAAGAGAGACAAACACGTAGAATACAATCCACCAGATAGAGACCCCGGTGAACATGGAAGGGTGGTCCCAGGTCACCCCAGGAAACGGAGCAGACCACAAACAAGGGGTGCGGCATGACCGAGCTCATGGTGCTGGAAAGGAAGTTAAAGGTGTCAGCAGTAGTCAGTCTCTGCGTAGGATGATTGTGGGAATGTTTGTCATTTCTTTTTGCTCATCTGTCTGTTTTTTTCCTACAATGAACACATTTTTGAGCAATTTTTTAATGCAAGTGTGAGGAGTGATACGAGGAAGAAAAGTTAAAATGTGACTAGACAGCCACGAGTTACTTTAATGCTATCAAACAGTAGGTCGTCCAGTAAGAAGAGGACAGGAAACATAATCTCTTCGCAAAGGAATGTGACTAAAACCCCAGGGAAATAAGTGATTCCTCCCACTGTGGCTCAGCGGAGACTGTCTGAGGGTGTGCGGGTCAGCCAGAGCTCTGCTCGCCCACCCATCCCACCCGAATGCCGAGGTCCCAGAGCCCGCAATGTGGCTGTCAGCGGCCTTAGCGTCGACCATGACCTCAGTGGCCTAACCCATTCTTGAATGTCCAGCAATTGGCGAGCAGCCCCCATCTTTGAGGATCCAACGTTCCCAATTCATGAGAGTTTGAGAAAAACGAAGAATCCTTCCAAGCTTTTCGTGCCCGGTCCCGATTCTGGTTCCCTCCAGGACTGTATTCCCATTGTTCTCCCTGCGCAGGCACCGTCGTGGGAGTCTGCTCAGTCTCCTCTGGCACCTGTCCTCAGGTGACATCAAAAGGGCAGAAGGAAAGAATTAGGATTGAGGGATGAAAAAAGCTGTGAGGCAAAGGTTAAAAGCTCGGCCGTTAGTTCAGGGTTTCTCAGTAGCAGCCCTGTTGACATTTTGGGCCAGATGACTTCGTTGTAGGAGCCACAC